ACTCCTAATCAGATTAGGAGGGTTGATCTTTATCTATAGATAAGATAAGGGATTATCCTTATTTCTTAAAGAGAGTCCAGATCCAAATACAAGATTTGGATTAGGAAACTCCTAATGGGATTAGCAGAACCTCTCTTTAAGGCTATAAATAGAGGAGCAGGGAGAACCTCTAGTTCATCCATCAATCTATTGATTTAAGAGAGAAGACAACATACTGTTTGAATGCTTCTATCTTCTGCTCTTGCTCTCTCCTGCTATTGCCGCCATACCCGTTCGATCTCCACTGTGGGAGCAATCAAGAAGGGTTCTTGATATTACCTTTTGGCAAAAAAGGTAATCTGAAGTCGTGCTCACTTGCCCTCCATTAGATTCTTGCTAAAGAATCAGGTTCTTGCTGAAGAGCCATCCTGCTGATTCTGCTTCATCCTGCACCGTGTCATCTTCGGTGGAAGCAGTCTTTGGATCTTTCCTTGGGCGTGAACACCTTCATTGGAGGTTATTGTTACTTCGTATCAAGTATAACCCTCCACTCCCTTTTGGTTTCAGATCTGGTCTGGTTTAGGTTCAAGATTGATCATTGAAAATGCAGTTTTCTAAAATAGGGAATGTGATTCCCACATGGGAAAGAAAGAAATTTTTGAAATTTCGCTCAACCTTCCTACAGGGTTTGGCCATCCATATGATGGATCTCTCATCCCTTCAACTAGACTATACATACAGTCCTCCCTTGACAGCAAGAAAGAACATGAACATGATACAGTTTTTCTAGCCACCAAGCCAAAGGGCAAAAAGGACTTTTCCAAGATGTAGTGCTATGAGTGCAAGGAGTTTGGACATGTGGCCTCTCACTGTAAGAAAATGAATTTTTGTACCTATTGCAAACAACAGGTCACATCATTACTGAATGCCCCACCCGACCTCCCAAGAAGGGTCAATACAAGGCACTTTAGACAATTACAGAGTCTTCATCTAAAATTACTGTCTCCTCCAACTCAAACTCAAAGGGGGAGCCTTCTAGTACTCAGACTGAGGATAAGATACGACAACTTGTGTCTTTAGCTATTTCATCTGCCTTCTCTGCTATTGGCCTGTCTGGTAAGTCTTCTACCACTTGCTCCTCTCCTAGCCATATGCGGAATATAGATTCTAGAGCCTCAAATCATATGACTAGGGCCTCCTTTGGTTAGACTCTTAAGCCCTACTCTTCTAATGACTAGATTATTATTGCTAGTGGTGAGTCATTAAAAATTGCTTGTTGTGATGATTTATTTCTTTCTACCTCTCAATCATCTTCCTTTCATCTCCCAAAAACCTACTTTATTCCTTAGTTAACTACCAATCTTATTTTTGTGGGTCAACTTGTTGATGATGGTAACTTGGTTCTATTTTCTCATGATGGTTGTGTTATATAGGATCAACGCATTGGGGAAGTGAAAGGGAAGGGGAGTAGGCTTGGGAGGTTGTTTGCTCTTGAGTTTGAGAAGAGACCTTTGTTCCAAGCTTCTTGTTTTCTTTCTACTACTAGTGACGTGTTACATTCTCATTGTAATAATGTGTGGCATTTATGGCATAGACGTTTAGGCCACACACATGCYRARAACWTGGATCAYYTAWTTTCTTCTRGTTGTTTACCTACTGTTAATTCTGTTTCTAAGAATATTGATAAATCTTGCATAACTTGTGGTCTTAGTAAAAGTCATATTTTACCATTTTCATCTTCATCTGTGCATGCTATTGTTCCTTTCCAAGTAATACATAATGATGTTTGGTCGTCTCCTGTTATATCTAGACTTGGATACAAATGCGTTGTTTTATTTATTGATGATTGCACTAGATATACTTGGATTTATTTCCTCTAGAAGAAATCAGAAGTACTTCCCACCTTTCAGAACTTTCACACCATGATAATGACCCAACACAATGCCACCATTCGTATTCTACATTCTGACTCAGGGGGAGAATATTCTGATAGGGAAAATGGAGAATTTCAGACCTATTTAAAGAAATATGGTATTCTATCCCAAAGATCTTGTCCAGGAACTCCTCAACAAAATGTTGCTGAACGCAAGAACCGACACATCTTGAGTATGGTGAGATCCCTTCTACTTGACGCTCATGTTCCTGTTACCTTTTGGGTGGAGGCGGCCAGCACTTCTATGTATTTCATTAACATCATTCCATCTTCAGTTCTTGGTCATCAATCACCTTTCTATTGTCTTTTCCATTGTTCTCCAAACTACTCTACACTTCATGTTTTTGGTTGCATTTGCCTTGTACATCTTCCTCCCCATGAGCGCACTAAGCTTATTGCTCAATCAGCTATGTGTTCCATTATGGGGTACAGTATAGAACATACAGGATTTCTCTATTATGATCCTAAAGTTTGTTGTCTCCGTATATCTCGAAATGTTATCTTTCTTGAGAATTTGTCCTTTTTTGAATATGTTGTCAAATTGCATGCACCATCTTTCTCTATTCTACATAACTTTACTCCTATAGGTGATTCGGTCTTGCCTCTTCAAGTCTATCACAAGAAGTATCCAGCTGCACCAACGCCTATGCCTCCTCCTCCTTCATCGACCCCGATGCTTGTTCCTCTAACATCCTCAGACCCTGTACCATTCACATCTACTTCTCATGTAAGTGATCCTTCACCTCCTATTCCCACTCCTTTACGACGCTCTTCTAGAGTTATTCGTCCTCCTGATCGCTATGGATATTCTGCTATACATAGTTCCCTTTCTACTACTTTGTCTTTCACATATATCCCCAAGCCTTACCAATAGGTTGCAACAATTGGTAATTGGAAAGCTGCAATGGACTTGGAAATTCAGACCCTATTGGAAAATGATACTTGGGAGTTTGTTTCTCTTCCACAAAATGCCTCCATTATTGGCAGTTGTTGGGTGTAATTAGTCAAATTGAATTCTAATGGGAACCTGGATGGATATAAAGCTCGCACAAGGGTACAAACAAGAACATGGCATTGACTATGAGGAGATGTTTGCACCAGTGGCTAAGATGACTACTATTCGGCTTATTCTTGCTATCATTGCTATTAAACAATGGACTGTTCATCTGATGGACGTCAAGAATGCCTTTCTTCATGGGCATCTCCGTGAGACAGTGTATATGAAGCCTCCTCCAGGCTACTATGATGATTCTACTCTAGTTTACAAACTAAAGAAGTCCTTGTATGAGCTTAAACAAGCCCCACGGGCCTAGTTTGAAAAGTTTAGAGGGGTTATTATTGAAGCAAGATTTCAGTAGAGTGGCTCAAATTATTCCCTCTTTATTCTTTGCCATCCCCAAGGAGTGACTCTTCTACTAGTGTATGTCGACGATATACTTATTACTGGTGATGACTTGGAAGGGATCACTCAGTTGAAGCAACTTCTCAGTCAATCCTTCAAAATGAAGGATCTTGGTCCTGTGACCTACTTTCTTGGTCTTGAAATCACCAGAAGTGCTCGAGGATATTTTGTTAATCAGCACAAATATGCTAGTGACTTGATTAAGATGGCCAATCTCTCTGACTCGAAGCAAGTTGATACCCTATTGGAACTCAACCTAAAACTCAGCAAGGATGATGGACAACTCCTTCCTGATGCTACATTATATTGTCAACTTGTCGGAAGCATTATTTACATTACTATGACTCGGCCAAACATATCCATATCATATGTTGTGCAGATAATTAGCCAGTTTGCATCAGCTCCTTGACAACCTTATTTCTCTGCCGTGCTTCAAATTATCAGATATGTTAGAGGCACCTTATTTCATGGACTTTTCTTCTCATCTTCCTCATCTCCTCAATTGACTGCTTATGCTAGTGCTGATTGGGCTGGTTGCCCTAACACCAGAAGGTCCACCACTGGCTGGTGTGTTTTCTTAGGTGATTCCCTCATCTCTTGGAAGTGCAAGAAGCAACAGACAATCTCCAAATAATCTACTGAAGCTGAATACTGTGCCATGTCCTCTGTTTGCAGTGAGCTTGTCTGGCTTAAAGCCCTTCATGATTCGACCATTGATCACTCCGCTCCCATTCCTTTATTTGCTGACAACATGAGTGCGATCAAAATTGCCTCAAATCTAGTCTTCCATAAATGGACTAAGCATATAGAGGTGGACTGCCATTTCATTCAAGATCTTCTCACTACTGGTTATATATATCTTTTTCTTGGCGTGTGTGGACTGAACACACCCATCCATTTTCATGTGACTCACTTGTCTCTTCTCTTCTTCAACTGGAACTGACAAAAAAATGGTAATGCTTCTTACACCATCTCCCCCCAAATACTCCTCCCAATCTTCTGAGTATAGAAAAGAAGTGTTCAAATGTTATAATTGAAAGAGACTGAAATTGAAAGGGGATTCAAAGGCAGCCATTGGGTGGACAAAGGAAGATCAGGAGGTACATATTCAGGGAGCTAAGTGGGCCAGGGGTTAATGTATTCTTGTATGGTGGTTAGCTGAGGCTAGCCTTTTTTGGGTTTCCTTCTCTACTGTACTAACTTTTATACTGTTTAATAAATTCAGTACTGTTATTCATAAAAAAATGTTATAATTGACAAGTCGATTGTGATAGCCTTAGGTGCAACATTTCAGGTTAGCATTCCAACTGATATGGTCTTAGTACTGCCAATAAATTACCGTCACAAGTTCGCAACCAAAAACCAAAAAGAAAAAAAAAAAGAAAGAACTAATTTGGCTGAGGCCAAGGCTCTGTTTGTATAGGGTATGGGAGAGTCAGCATGCTCTGGTTTCTTGTTCTCCCATTCTTGGGAGTTTTCTATTCATACCTTTAATCAGATCCTGTTGAACTTGTTGCTTGTAAAATAGGAACTAATTTGGGAATAACTTATGAACTAAATATCTATTAGATTAATAGTTGTTATGATAATAGATGATAGAAGACTGATTTTTAAGGACTTTGCAATGCCAAAACCATGAAGTTTAAGTTATGGTGTGACAGTACATTATCATTGAAAATTACTTACGTAGCATTGCCAAAAGATCAGATAAGGAAACTTTTTTCTTGATATGCTGCTGAATGGTTTCAAAATGCCTTCAACAACAAGAAGAAATTGAATGTAAGTACAAAGCTAGTGCTCTTTCAGATGCTCCAGTGTTGATAGGAGTAACAACGAAATAGCATTCCAAGTAAATTGGGGACTGAATGCCAAAGATACACATGTACCTGGTAAATAGTTCCTGTGCAAGTTCGATTAGCTGGTTTTCTGAACCAGGAAATATTGTCTGATAAGCATGGACAGCTTCTCCAAACTGACCAATGGAAGCCCAAGTGCATAAAACCAAATTAACAAACCATGGTTATCAACTAAATGGAAATTTAATGCAACAAAGATATGATATAAGATTAACTAATGTTAGCCAATGATGTTTACTTATAGGATTAAAGTCAAAAGAATTAAGTGTGGAAATCCTTGAATGATTCATAATGTAATGATGATGATTTAAAGCTATTCATGAGATTTCTCCCAAATGTTGGTGATACATGAAAGAATTTATTGAAGCAAATTGACTGTTTGTTGTTGGAATTATAATTGCTCTAGAATGATGTAAACACGGGAGGGACATGTAAAGGGATTATATACAAATAAGCTAAAATGTTAAGTTTAATTGCACAGCCATATGTAGTCCAAAGCAAAAGCATCGGAGAATATAACAATTATACCTTTTTTATACTAGCCTCAGGTGGCACAGCTGGAGCATTTCCTAGTTCAGAAGGCTCATCTGAATTCAGTGTAGTAGTCACAGCTTCTCTAGATTCAAGCTGAAGGTCCACAAGGAAGTGCTCTAAATTCCCAAGTAGCTTTGCTTTCAAACTATCCACCTGTAAATATATGGCAAATCCATTATGGTATGCACATAAAAAAGGTAAAGGCCATTTACCTGGTCCCATCTATCTGGGGTGGGGTCTTGGGAGGTGTGGACTGGATATAATCCTATCCTTTGGCAATTTTTGCATAAAGTGGCCACTCCTAGACTCAAACTCACATTCTCATGCTTGTCAGCCTGAGATTTTACCATTAAATCAAGTAATAGCCCCTTCCTTACCAAATACACATCATAATCCCAAATTACATAAAAGAAAGATGGTGAAAGTTTACAAAATATTAACTTATATTTACGAGAGTGTAACAATGAAATAAAATTATATGTTAACAGAACACAGAAAGAAACCATATAAAAGATGCAATTTCAACATAGACACTGAAAAATTTACGTTTTTTTGAAGAGTAAAAATAAAAATTTTATTGATAAAATAAAAAACAGGATACAACTTGAAGAGGGGTGTTAAGAAAACACCTGACCCAACTACCACGACAGAAGGATTAGAAAGACACCAAAACTAACAAAAAGAAAAACAGAGAATCCCCCACTTCAAAAATAGCTAGTCTTCAGGTTCAAACACCTCATCATTTCCGTCATCATCCTTGTCCCAAACTTTTTCTTCTTTCCGTCGCAAATTCTTATTCTCTCTCTCTCTCTCTCTCTCTTCCCTTTTACCCTTTTCAAATGCTTCAATAGCTCTTCTAGCAAACTCTCCACCTCCCCAAAAGAAATGCCCTAAACTCTTGCCAATTCTTCCCTGTCCACCAGGCTCTCAAGCTCAACTTTGTCCCCCATCATCAGCTTGCTGAGACAAAATGAGACTACTTTCACCAGCTTGACTTCCCTCCTTCTTATCCCCTGACCGTGGCCTAACCTCTAGACCTTCCTTTGTCGGGATCGACGTTATCTCCCCTAATACAGCTTGATGCTCCTCCCCCATCCTTTCATCATCCTTCTTCTTCAATCCTAAGACTTTTAATCTCTTCCTCTTGTAGACTTTTTTAATTTATTGGAGGGTCCTTCCGTCTCAATCAATCCATCTTTTAGCCTTGAGAAAACCTTTGACACATGGACAAAATGAAACTTGTTTGTCTCTCTGGCTTTCTTCACGACGTCTCCTTCCTTGTTCACACTTCTTCGACCTAAATGGACTCCAATCCTACTGACTGAAATTTCCAACTTTTGGAAATCCTCGAACTCTATAGATGAGTCACATTTGTTGTCCTTGTCCAAAACCTCTTTCGCATTCTCAACACAGCAAGAATCAATCGACCTCTTGTCACCACCCCCTCCACAGACAGCCCTACCTACCATTCTTTCCTTGCCCTTCTGACCTTCTAAACAAACAGCCCCTTGGTTCTCCATCTCCAAACTCCATTGTTGTGAAAAAAAGGAAGAGAGCCCGACTACGAAATCACCAAAAGAAAGAAGCTTACCTGCTTGTTGGCTAGAGCTTGTCTTCTCCTTCTTCCCTCCACCACATTGCTTCCTTAGATCAAAACTTTCATCGTGACTTTGATCGATCTCCTCAAGATCCGCATGAACAATCCACTTCCCAGGATTTTCAGACTGAAACACACACCCAACTCTTCGATTCTGCTTGAACTTACTCTTGTTCAAGACCCTCAACTTGAAGCGAGGCATCTTCGAAATCTCTCCAGCATTGTTGATGATTTTGGCTTTTGAAACTCGACCCACATTCAGACCTTCAATGCCTTTTCCATCCCGAGACACCTCTTGGTCTTCTGAAAGTCCAGAATCCTCTTTCTCTTTCAACTCCCCCACTCTCTTTTTTTTCTTCTTCCATGTGTCCCACCAAGTTAGCCTCTGCCCTAACACCACTAGCATTTAATAAAACTAACTTTTTTTTTGAAGAGGAAATGAAAATTCATTAATTCAAAAAGAGTGAAATACAACACAATTGGTGACAAGGTGTCACCACTTCACACACAACAAGGCCAACTCTAATTGAGTACAGAAACTAATCTAAATTACAACAACTGAATTTCAAGAGCATTCCAAAAATTCTCCCCCATCTCTGATCTGCCAATTTGATCAAAATCTGGTAGCACCCAAACCCAATTCGCTAGTAGCTTCCCAACCAGAGCTACTAGTGTTTCAGTGTTCTTTGATCTGTCATCAAAGAGTCTACTGTTTCTTTCATTCCATAGAACCCAGCACACTTCAAAAGGAATGCAGCTGCAAACCATTCTTGCTTTTTCCTGTGACCTCTAAAGTTTGTTCAGGAAGAAAAGATTTTTGCTGTAGAACTTTTAAAACTTTTCGGATATCTACTGTCATTATTCTTTATGTGGCCCAAGGAAAAGTCCCTAGCCACACCAATAATATTTTTACTTCCAAAAATACCCTCATCTTCAACCTCACACTCCCCCTTCGACATGACTATTCGTCTTCCCTCCAAAACCGCCAGAATGCAACCAGACCTTCTTAGTCTCCTCACTCCACATCTCCATATTTTCAATCCATCTTGCTTGGTATGACCCTTCTACGACCAGTCGTAAGTTGAAAATTTCACCAGCAACTCAAAGAAACATGGAAGTAGGAACAAGGTGAATCTCTTCAACTTTGATTAAAATACAAGCAGCAATCAGGTTTCTCCAAGAAATTGTTCTAGAATCAACAAATCCGAATCTTCCTCAAATGTCTCCCATGGCTTTAAAGGTTTGGAAGCTCCACACTTGCAGGGGAATCCTGAAGACCATGATCCACACCATATTTAAAGGACCCATATCTCTAATTGCTCCAATTAAAGGATTCCATCTTCCAATTCTGAGGTCAGGCTCTTGAATCTTATTCTGTTCTCTCATCAGGATGTTGCTTGCCTCCCCCTCACTTTTGAAATTGAACAAAAAGAAACCAGCATTCAGCCTTCTTACCCGAAAAGGTTTCTCAGGTAGCCATTCAGCATCAGCCCACTCAATCTTCTCCATATCTGGGTCGGAATTTACGAAGTGAACAGCCAAGTTGTGATCCAGTAATCTGAGTTTATCTCTAATTTCTCCATCGAGATTCACTATCGCTTCATCTTTTATGCAGTTATCCTGTTCACTACCACAAGATATTTGATTCACCATTGAAGCTGCATTTCCCATACTAAATTAGCATCAAAGCACTTTCTAATAATGTAGACCTTTAGACTCAAACTTTGAATAAATGCACTATGAAGAACCTACATATGGTTGCTCCATGCTCACTTCCTCATTCAAATCACCATGCAAAAATGCATTTTTTACATTCCATTAAAGTAAAAGCTAATGAAAAGTAGAAACAATGCAAATAATAACATAAGCAAATGAAATTTTAGCAACAGGTAAAAGCATCTCAACATAATTAACCCTGTAGTTAATTATACATTTGTGCATAATATGTCAGTAAGATAGAATACAATGAATCTATTCAAAGTAATTATATAACTGTTTTTTCATTGATATATTCTTGGGTTAATTACTTAAAATATACCCTGCGGTTTTTAAAACTACCCAAAATATACCTTGTTAGATGGCTCCACTTGAAAAAAAATAGGCCCTCTGTTAGTGAAACATTTAGGGCTGTTTACATGTGATATCATGTGATTTATACTATCATAATTCCAGTTTTACCCTTCCATGGACCCTTCCTTTTTTCTGGGTGGAAATAAAAAAGTGGATTACTCTGGATCTGTGCTGGAAAAGGGAAAAAGACAGTGAACTTGGAGGTTTCTTTTTTCTTTTTGATCAGAAACGATAACTTTCATTAGAGATAAATTAAACTGAAATACAGAAGTAAACCCTTATTAGAAAAGGTTGGTCCAATAAACATCAAGCATTACAGCACTGCCCAATAAAGTCTCTCCCTTACAGTCCCTTGTTTTGCTAGGGCATCAGCAAAACCATTTGCTGATCTCCTTACCCACTTGAAACAAACATCCACCTCCCTTGTTATGCTAAGAATTTCCCTTATCAGCTGTCTATATTGCCAAATTCCCAGCTGCCCTGATTGCACCCACCTAATTACCAATTTGGAGTCCCCCTCTATCTCAATCTGCTGATCTGCTGTAGCCCCAATTGTTTGGCCAGTTTTACACCTTGATGTAGTGCCAAAATTTCCACTCGTAAGGAATCTCCAACTCCTACTAGACATGAATACAAAGCCATTATCTTGCCTTCATTATCCCTGAAAACACCTCCTATACCAGATGGGTCTGGATTACCTATAGAGCTTCCATCAAAGTTCAGTTTCACCCTTTGTTGTGCCAGTGGGGACCAAACTTCCTGAATCATAGCTTTGGAAGTAGTAGTAGATGCCACAATACCCCAACTTCTATAAACGTCTTCAACTGAGAAATCCTTAAAAAGACCACAGGATTTCAACCAATGGATAACCTTAGTAGTTACTCCTTCCACAACCTCTTCCTTGGATCTACAACTACCTTTGAAGATCCTATTGTTTCTTTCCTCCCACACTGACCACAATACAACAGCTCTAGTGGTTGTGGCTCTCCACATAATCCTTCCATGAACCGTTGGTTGCCTGTAAAAAGTTGGATCAAAGAGGTTCACCACGCTCGAGGAGGGAGTCCAACTGCAGCCAAAGAGAGAAGAGAACCAAGAGCAAATAAAGAACACAAAGGGACATGAGATTAGTAAATGTAAAATTGTCTCACCAGAACCCAAACAGAGACAACAAACATGGGGGGAGAGGCACATATTTGGCCTCTTTTTCTGCAATAAACCCAAGGTGTTGCTTTTTTGGAGTGCCACTTCCCAGCAAAAGGCCTGAATTTTTGGGGGTATAAGGCTACCCCACACCTCCTTTGAAGGAAAGTTCCCTAGAAGGTTAGAGGTCTAAAGTAAAATGTTATAGAAAGAAGAGCAATAGAAAAAACCAGAAGGGGAAGGGGTTTCCAAATTCTGCTATCTCTACAAGACTGATCAAGAAAGACTTCCCCTAATTGAGTGATCAAATCATCAACCATCCTCATTTCAGAATCCCTTAGAC